GGGTGCAATGGTCTTGTAACTTGACAGCTTTAAGACTTGCACACTTCAATGCCAGAGTTCCTGAGCCAACATTTTAGTTGCTAAGCAAGTTTCACCACATTTTACAAGTTGGCCGCGCCCACCGAGTCATATGGCTGGCAAGCCACTCCTACCCAGACACATGGCTGGAAAGCCACTCCCACCCAGTCACATGGTTGGCAAGCCACTCCCACAAAGCAGGCCACACCTACAGAAGAGGTTCTAAAAAAATTTGAAACCCACCACTGGTCCGGACATTTCCCCCCTATAAATAAATACCCAGGCAACAACGAGTTATCAGCAATTAATAAAGCAATTAAAACATCAACACTGGGAAGACTGTTGATATAATTAAAAGGGGCTCCTGACCCTCTCCAAGGTCTTTGGAGGTCTTTTGAAAGACAGGCAGGGTTGGACTGCGGGACAAAGAATGTGGTATTTTTTTTCTAGAGGCTGACAGCAGGAAGAATTCTTTATGCGCAGAAATGGAAAGAGATATTAGTCCCCGAAATGGAAGGATGGCTGGGTGGAAGAGGCGGATATGGGCAAATCAACTCTTTCAATAATAAAAAAACAATACATCTATTTTTCTTCCTGCTTAGAGACGCCTTCTGGACTTTGAAAGTTTGGCTTTAGGATGTTCTGATTAGATAGATTTGTTGTTACAGAAATGGCTAGTATACACTAAGTATGTAAAAATAAAACGTTGAGGCTTTGAAATTTTTATTCTGCTGGGCTGAAAAAAGTTGGTCGTTGCCCCTTCATTATTCTTTCCCTCCTTCCCTGTTTCCCTGCTGTCTTTTATCTTCATTTAGATTGTGCTTTAGGAAACGCAACATAATTTATGTGAGCCTGAAAATAACATGGAACACAGCACAGTCCTTAAAACGAAACGGTTCGGTTGAGATTTGCATACGTGGGAGAGATTGGGGTAGATTGCAAGGGTGACACCGAAATATAACTTTATGTCACTTTATTCTATTTAACATATTTATGTATTAATTTGTATTGTATCTTATCCTACAACAATGGTATTTTGTCCTACTCTTATTTTAAACTGTTTGTATAGGAGTCCATTGGTGTTTGAACCTCGTGCTTTGATATGGCCTCCGTAGCCACAGGAGGCACCCACAGCCTTCTCTGCAGGCAGGCCAGCCCTCACCCAGCTCAGCTGCACCGCGCATAGGTGCACGCCTCCCGCCCACCGGCTGATTTCCAGGTCTCTGCCCTGCGTGTGGAAGATGTGCACACATATGTGGGGGAGGCATATGCATGGAGAGGCGGAAAGGGAGCACAGGGAGGTGCGGCGTGTCCCCTCGCTCCCCATGTTTGGTTTCAGGGGGCTTCAAGGATGCCTGCTAGGCCCAAGACAGCGCATGGGGGTGAGGGGGTGTCACGTGCATGTGTGGGGAGGGGTCACAGAGGGGGGTTGGGCACATTGCATGGTGGATGTGGGCACGCAAGGACAAAAAGGCCAGCCGTCACTAGAGACCTATAGGCTCATCAATAAAGCTATAAAAAAACCTAGGAAATGCAATAAAACAAATGAAAAACAAGAGGCAGGGCTGGGGCCACCCAGAGCTTGGGGGGGGGGGATCTTTTCCAGAATCCAGGCTATGGACCTATGGACTGGACTGGCTCTTGCAGCCATCCGTCATTCACTCATGCGCCAAAAGCCCTACCTGGCCCTCGAACATTGACGTCCATGCAGTCGGCATCGATCTCCCCCTGGGGAGGGGTGGGGGCCATGGAGGAAATGCGCAAGTCGGCCGCGTCCAGGTGCTGCTGCGTCCACTGCCGGTGGTCAGTCTGGTCATCGGGCAGCATGACCTGTTCCTCTACCTGGGAAGAGAGGGAGGAGACGTCAGGGGAAGATCCACCCCCCAGAGCTGCCTCTCTTCCCCTTTCCTGCAAAACGCTCCTTCTCAGAGGAAGGCCAGTGGGGAGCTACGCCTTTAGAGAGCGGAGATTCGAACCGATTACTTAGATGTTGGTTTTGTGTAATCGGGTGGCCTGACATCTAGGGGAAAACTGGAGAAAGAAGGAGACAGAGGAGGAGGAAGAAAAAGAAGAATCATAGGGTTGAAGAAGTGGTTTCTGGATGTTTGAAATCGATCCATAAAGCTGTGGGGTACAATGACTATATATGTATACTTTTTTGTTCTATTTCTTTTAATAAAAGGAGGAAGATATATGTTAAAAATTAAATATGTATGTTGAAAAGGAATGATAAATACCATCAACATAAAATGGAGCTAAGAAGCTGAAATACACCAAGCAAATGAGATGAAGAGTGTGGCGTAGAGGAGGGAGGTAAGGGCAGAAGAGAGGGATAGGAGAGAGGGGGTGAGGGGGAAGAGGAGGAGAGAAAGGAGTGGGAAGGGGAGAGAGAAGGAGAGAGGAAGGGGAAGTAGAGAAGGATGACAGAGGGAAGAAAGGAGGTAGGGAGGGGGAGGAGAGAGGGAGAAGGAAGTGACGAATAAGGCACAAATATGGTGTATGGAGAGCAGGAGAGCCAATATTCGTAATTGGGGTAAGATGAATTGATGTAAACATTTAATAATACAACATGATGTTGGCTATGTAATAGTATGCATGTGGTTATTTGTTATGAAAATAAAAAATAAAAAAATAAAAAAGCTGTGGGGTCTGCAGATGTTTAGAGAGCTTCCTGAAACTATTCATCTTGCAGAAGGATGGACTTGTTAGCCTGCGTTGAGAGAGAAACTTTTTGCCGGCGCTCCTTATAAAGGAATCTTTGAATTAACTTCAGAGGGTTTATGGTGTTTGGGGAGCTGGGTCAGAACACACTCCTTCCCAGCCCCCTAGGCTGCAGAAAATGGGGCAGAGAGCTGCACCATGGAAGGGGGGTCCTTTAAGCCATCGGTGAAGAATTCGCAAGAATTAATCGGGCTCCAGTGTCGTCCTTGGTCAGGTTTTAGTAAGGCAGGGACAGTGTTAGTCACTGCATTAAGCTGTAATATATATCACAGGCGAATCGCAAGCTGCTTCTATGAAATTCTCGTCTTCTTTGACAGAAATCCCAAGTGCCCAAAATCCAGACGGAATGAGAAGCAGATAGAAAGAAAAAAAAATCTGGCCAGAAGCCAAGCATCCCTGGGGAGCTTACTCGGAATTTCTTGGTGTGGAGCGTCTCTTCGTCTCCCCACTCGTTCTGGTTGTCGTCCATCAGAGTCCCATTCGAAGCATTTTTCAGGGGTCTGGAGGACAAAGGGTTGGGGGAAACAGCCGGGGGGGGGGGAAGAAATGGGCAAGGAATTAAATCCACGGGGGGAAACAGTCGGCTGACAAATTGCAATTGCTCTTCACAAAACGAAGTGGAGTAAAGACGACTAGACAAACGAAATAAAAAGAGCCGAGGTGGCGCAGTGGTTAAATGCAGCACTGCAGGCTACTTCAGCTGACTGCAGTTCTGCAGTTCGGCTGTTCAAATCTCACTGGNTTTGTCTGAAGTGGTGTAGGGTTTCCTGCCTGGGCAGGGGGCTGGACTAGAAGACCTCTTAGGTCCCTTCCAGATTCTATTCTATTCTATTTCCTGACCGTAAGAACAATTACTCAGCGGAAGAACTTGTCTCCAGAAGTTGTGAATGCTCCAACACTGTTATTCTAACAACTCTGTTATTCTAAATTATACAAGGAAGCAAATCCCCTTTCAACCAGCTGAGCCCAGCGGAACAGAGGGGAGGGACGCCCCGCGCTGGCCACCGTGGCCCGGCCACTTACTTGCACTGCAGCTCGACCTTCTGGCAGTCAAAGCCGTCGTAGAGGCAGCCGCTGTTGTTGCACTGGACGTCACATTTCCCGTCGTTGAAGTAGTTCCAGCACTGCAGGGCCTGGGTGCAATTCTTCCAGGGGTCGTTGAAGTTGAGCGAACAGTCCCCGCCGTCCCAACCGCAGGCGTGATTGTTGCATTTGGTGTCACAGATCTTGTTGCCGGCCAGGCTGGGGCAGCCAGGGATTTCGCACTTCTCCTCCACCAGGGGAGGGGTGATGTCCTGGCCGGGCCCCCCCGGGAATTCAAAGTCCAGGATGTGGCAGTTGAGGCCGTTGAAGTTGACGGGGCAAAGGCAGCGGTAGTGGGGTGGCTCCGGGGTGAATTGGCAGGTGCCCTCGTTGTAGCAGGGGCCCGAGTGGCATGGGCTGTGCGAGGGGAACTGGCACTCGGGACCAGTGAAACCCGGTGTGCAGAGGCACCTGGGCTGCCTGGAGGTGGGAAGGCAGGTGCCACCGTTCAGGCAGTGTAGCATCCCGCAGCTGTGCAGGTGGTTTTCACACGTGGCGCCATCCAAGCCCTGAGAGGGGAAGAAGACGGCGCTCAGGAGGGAGGGAAGGAAGGAGCTCCCGGACTGGAGGGGGCGGGGGCAAAGCTCCAGGCCAGGAGCCATCTGGGTGTGAAGAAGGGGGGACTTCAGTGTCCTGCTTGAGACCCCCTCCCCCCTCTTGCCTTCTGACCAAACACGTGCCGGCCACGTACCAGAGGACACTTGCAGATGTAGCCCTGTTTGGTGTTGCTGGCCACGGCGCAGCTGCCCCCGTTCTTGCAGGGCCTGTTCTGGCAGCCGTTGAACACCGCTTCACAGCGCCGTCCTGGAAGAAGGGGAAAAAAGGGGGGCTCTGGAGTGAATTTGGGGTCCAAGCTCTCTCCCCGGCTGTTCCGGATGAAGAGCGGGCCTGCCTGCCTCCCTTGGGGCTTGGAAGCTTTCGTGGAAATGGACCAGCACCGTGTGGTTGGAGTTGTGACTAAAGGTTGGAAACTTTTTCTTGTTTCCCTTCGTTCTGCTTGTTACAGAGCGCAATAAAGTTCCTCCCCATTGAANCTATGAAGTGGTATATAAGTCTAACTGCTATTGCTATTGCTATTCCCATTATTCTAGCATTTCGACCCCCAACTTCCTAAAATTCAGTAGTTTTGGAGACTTTCTACGGAAGTCAAACTAAGTTTTTTTTAAAAAACAGCAAGGAATTAAAATGAAGACCCAGAATGTCAGACGTTCTAGAAACGGAGCAGTTTGGGCGATGCCCTTGTGTATATTCTCAGTTTGTTACACAAAATCGGTCTATTTGTGTAAATGCTGAATGCTCCCTCCAGAGTTATGAGCTGGACAATAAAAAAGTTTCATTCATCACCTTCAACAAATTGACCCTTTTGGGGATCTTGTAAAACCTTTTTCTCTCCTTTAAAAAAAACCTTGCTTTTAAAAAATGTACTATCATTGGACGATTTTTTCAGGAGAATGTACTAAAAATACATAACATAAAATGCACGTAGGCTGTCTTACGAATGGTGGTCAGGTGTTAAAAATATCAAATAATATGTGTTTCTGTAGACACTTGAAAAAGATAGAAGCTAATGTGGAGAGCCTGAGAGAACCATAAAATATAACCAATTACTTTGCCACCTGCGATCATTCGTGAATGAAAAACTGAAGTCTACTTAGAAGCCAGTGGAAATAAAGCTGAGATTTTTGAGCCCACCCCTGTTCACAGACCTCTTGAAATTTACGCATGGCCCCCACTGAGAGGAAATGAAGTCAAAGCAAAGCACAAATCAATGATACACCCACACACCGCTTCCAACGGATGCCCTCCACCCAGGGCCAAGAAGGCGGCCTCGGTGCATTTCCTACTATTTGTCCCACAGGGGGGCAGAAAACTATTGGTGGTCTCTATTTCCCCTGGGTTCCAAAAAGGAAGCCAAAATACAAAATGCTTGGAAACGTAACGTAAATAACGTACTATTTTATTATTATTTCTTTGATATGGTGTTTTTAATGTCCTTGCCTTGAGTGCGAGTGGCCGGCAATGTAAAATTTCTAAATGAATAAATGAAAGATCTGTCCCAGCTGGGTTCTCTTTTGATAAATGGAAGTCAAAGCTGGCATGCCGCAAACATGAAAAATCCCGCCATGGTGTGTTCCTTTCGATACGCTAAATTGGGGTTAATGAGCCACCACTGCCGTGCTCACTTCATGTGCTTTTTTAAAAAAAGTTCTCTAAACAAATCAACCCTCTTCAGCCCCATCGAGACTATGCTATTTGCGGGAACCAGACAGAGAGCGAATGATTGGTCAAAGGATCAGGTCCCAAGATCCCAACCTCTGTCCCAAGATCCCTGCAAGGGGAAAAACAGGGGGGGGGGAGTACTCACTTCAGCCCCACGGAATCCTCTCCCAGTGGCTCCCGGCGCTTCTTCTTACTGGACTCGGTCACTTTGAAGCCTTCGGGGAACCAGAGCTGCCCATGTTCCCTGCGCCGCTTGCGAGTTGCCAAAACACCGATGCCGATGCAGCAGAGCAGGAAGAGGGAAGGTACCACCACATACATAGGATACCACTGGTTGCTCCTGGGGGAATCTGTCGTTTCACCTGGGATGCAAAAAGCCAAGAGGACCAGGATGAGACGGCGGGAAGGTGCACCCCAGTAGGAGGACGGGCGAACTGAGGTCCAAGCAGACCCATCACTCGTCCCCCCCCTCTCTCTATCCAGCTCCCTAGGAGGAGGGGGAGGAGGAGGAGGAGGTGGAGGGGAGGAAAAAATAGCTTTCATTCCTTTAGGAGAAAAAGGATTAGCTCATTTCAAATCATTGGATCCAACATTGAGCGGTTAAGTCCAAAGGATTGAGGAGGATTTGAGAGGCGCTCACTTCAGCTCTTCACATGTCACGGATCGATTACAAGGTCTGGGGCAGCTTCCCCCCCCCTCCCTTCCTAATAATAATTATTTTGAAATAAATTCCAGAGGGGGGACAAAACTTGACTCCCCCCCCCTCCCACAAACAGCAAGGGAACGGGACTTTCTTGTTAAAAGGCATTCAATTCATTGCATATGAGGGACTCTTCCCTGCAATTTTTGAGTATTTTACAGCTTTGGGGGGAGGGGGGCGCATGGTTTAGAATGGGCTTGTATGTCGTACATTACGCATGCAGGGCACATATGTGTATTTGGGGCCTGTCTTTTGACTCAAGAAACATATTGAGCTGCATCTGGCGGAATTAGCCCCAAACTATAAAATCCATTATTAACTTAATCCACTATTTTTCAACCTTGCTAATTTGAAGAACTGTGGATTTCAACTCCCAGAATTTCCCAGCTAGCATGGGCAGCTAGGGGATTCTGGGAGTTGAAGTCCGCATGTCAATGGCAATGCTGTGGAACATCGGCCTGCTCACATCCTGTAAGATTAGAAACCAAACAAGTTTTGTTATTGGGAAACTGGTGGGAAAATTACCCCAAATTACACTGCTTTAACAGATTAACAGATCGCAACATCCCTGAGGTCACGGGATCACAATTTGGTCCCTTGGTAACCAGCTCGTATTATGACCGGTGCAACATTCTGTGGTCACGTGATCTCAATTTCTAGCCCCTTTTTTGCCAATTTCAGGCCAAAAGCATCCGGTGGGGAAGTTGCTTAATCACAGCCTGATTCGCTTAATGACCGGGTGATTTGCTTAATGATGTTGGTGATTCACTTGACAACCTTATATAATGAGGCACACAACTTGGCTCGTGACCGCAACAATTTAGGAAAGAAATTGTGGTTTCCCATTGTGGTTGTACGTTTAGAGAGGGGAAAGAATTGGTGTAGGATTTGTTGCCTAGTTTGGCAATAAACCATCACCAGGCAACATTCCCAAGAGAAAACAATGGCAATTTTATTTACTGCTTTGCAAAGGGGACACTCCCACGCACACACAGGTACAGTGTACACACCTTAAATCATCAATATCTTTGCCTTATATTCCCTAGTGCCCTTACAAATGTACCTCTCGCCTTTTCCTGATTGGCGTCACAACCTTCCCCCCCCCC